ATTTTGCAAAAGGCTCTAGTTCTTGTGTTCTTTAGTGTGTACATAAAGCAAGCCTGAAACATTCTTTTCACGTTCTCTCTCAGCACATGGTCCGTTAGTTGTTTGTTTTGGGTTTTCTTCATATGAGACATGCATTGTTTATAATTTCTGTTTTGTCTGAGGGCTGCAAGCAGGGCTGGAGACTCAAAGGCACAAAGAACACAGACTAAAAATCAATACTGAGGAGGGGAAGTAACCTTTAAGCAGGCTAATTATAATTAATTTGTTTTTGGAAAAAACCCTATTTTCCTCCTATTTTGGACAAAAAAACCCAACCCAACCCTTGTTAAAACGTCACTATTTTAACTCGTCAGTTTAGGCTGTGGAAACTTTCATCCCAGTTCATTTTGACAGATCAGACTCAAATATCTAGGCACCATGAACAAGGAGTGTTTATTAGCAATGTATGATGTATGGATACTGTATCACTCTGACCGTGTGAGCAATACTCAGTGCTACCAAAATCACTACATGTGACACTGCTCTATGGGTAATAGACACTCTCTATTCATTCTACGCAGCCAAGCCCAGACCCTACAGATCCTCAGAGTTAGGACAGGGACGTTTCCCAGCATCTCTGCGCTGGGTGGTGGGAAGGCTGGAGGATTTCCCTTTCCCTTCCTCTGGGTAGAAACTCTCCCCCCTGCCTCCTGCAAGGACCTAAAGCAGAGCAGAGCAACCCTGACAAAAGCTCTAAAGGTCCTGAGTGAGAGGGAGTCATAGAAGGGGGAAAAGTCTGCAAAGGTTGTGCTTCAATAGTAAAGAACCACACTGTACTGCAGCTTTTCTGAGAAGATGAAGCCCCTCTGGCAGACCTCTCTACCCCACCAGCATGATCTGGTTATCTGGGGAACACAAGGCATAAGAGAGGAAAAGCATCTGGAATATTGTGTCCAGTTCTGGGCCCCTCAGTTCAAGAAGGACAGGAACTGCTGGAGAGAGTCCAGCATAGGGCTACAAAGATGATCAAGGGAGTGGAGCATCTCCCTTCTGAGGAGCGGCTGAGGGAGCTGGGGCTCTTTAGTTTGCAGAAGAGGAGACTGAGGGGAGACCTCATTCATGTTTATAAATATTTAAAGGGTGAGTGTCACGAGGATGGAGCCAGGCTCTTCTCGGTGACAAACAATGATAGGACAAGGGGTAACGGACACAAGCTGGAACACAGGAGGTTCCACTTCAATTGGAGAAGAAACTTCTTCTCAGTGAGGGTGACAGAGCACTGGACCAGGCTGCCCAGAGAGGTTGTGGAGTCTCCTTCTCTGCAGACATTCAAAACCCGCCTGGACGCCTTCCTGTGTAACCTCATCTGGGTGTTCCTGCTCCGGCAGGGGGATTGGACTGGATGAGCTTTTGAGGTCCCTTCCAATCCCTGACGGTCTGGGATTCTGGGATTCTGTGATTCTGTGAAAAGTGGAAGAGGGAGCTGCAGTCCTGAAAAGCCCCAGTGGTGCTTTGCCCAAGCAGTCTGATGGTACCACCACTCAAAGGGGATGCAGCAAAATTTATTGAATATCAAGACAGTGCATCAAATGGTCCAACTCCTCACTGATACCACCAGTGAATGTACCCAGGCCCTCCTTAATTTTCCAATTAAAGCCCTCTTCTCTTACATAGGGCTTCGTTTTCTGGATCACAGGATTCCTTTTCTCTCCAATGCTTTAGCTGCAACAATGATAAACTAAAACTAGAGACAAACAGGAATGTATTCTATCTGAATGGGGACATGCACATTCAATCAGAGTATGGCAACTTTTGGTAAAATGCTCTACTTCTCTCTTGTATGTGGAGTAAATTCTATTTTAATTTTAGAATATAAAGAATCATCAGCACAAGAAGCTGAGTCTGTAGAAAAAGGGTGACAAATATGGAAGCAATTGGGAGAACTGGCAGGTTAAACCAGAGTATGTTCATTCAGTTTTGAGGTTAAAGGTCCCTAGAAAGTGCAAACAGATTCCAAAATGTACCAAATGTGTCTAAATTCCCACTGAAAGACGACAAAACATGCTGTACACTTTACAAAATTAGTGCCAGAACGCTTTGAGTTCTGCTGTCAGTAATTGTGCGCTCTCTTAACTATAAATGACTATCATAAACGTATATTTAAAGTCCTGCTGTTAATTTCTGGCCCTTTAAACTACACAGTCTGCTACTCTGAAACAGAAGAATTTGTTAAGAGGGGATGAGTATATTTGATAAATTACAGGGATTAACATGATCTTAAATTAGTGAAAGAATTTAGTCTTTTTAATATTTATTTTCTCGCTGCTGCTCGGTTTTCGACAGCAGAAGACAAGACAGTTACATAAATATACTTCAAAGGGAGGATCTTCTCAGGGAGGGAAAGGGATCTTTTTGTTCTTACTGGTATTTAAGAACTACATTTTCAGTAATGGTCAGACCCGCGTTACCAGTCTCAAATCCCTCTGGCTTCTGGGATAGCACCACCTAGTGACTATTGCACAGACTGGCGACTGCTGCTTGGCAGAAACCACCTACGCTGCAAATTCCAGAGCTAGTTGCAAGCAGATGTGAGAATGTGCTGTCCCTCGTCTTCAAACAAAACACCAGAGGTACCGGCAGAAGGCACATTTCAAGCCAGGGTTACCTGGAGAGATGCAATATGGCTTCCATGTACATTATTAACTTTCATCAGGCAGTAATCTACAAAAAGCTGGAGAAAATTGTATCAGGACTATGAATCTTAATCTGTACTTTTTCTGGTTTGCTCTAGGAATGAAGCCCTTTGAGTGGAGGGAAGAGAGGTAAGAGGCAAGACAGAGTGTGACGGGACATCTACAGTCATTATTCTTTTGTTTACAAGAGCCTCTTTGTAGAAAGTTAAGAGAATATCATTATCTTTCTTCACTGAGCAGAGATGAAGCAGCATTGCCAGCGATACCTTCTGTTCTCAGCCAAACCTTTCATTTAGCTTGCAAGCTGCCAAAACTAAACCTGGCAACAATCTGATTTCAGAACAGAGGCCCCAACACAGGATGTGAGTGCCAATTATATTAGACAGCTGGAAAAAATAAGAGCAAAATCACAAAGACTTAAAAAAATTAAAATGACATAAGGGTTTCAAGATATTCTCAAAACACCATACACAGGAGCACATGCAAAATATCTTTTTTAACAGGATGTCCTGTACCAACTTGACAGAAATACAGACAATACTTCACTTGCTGGGTGCTCTTCATGGAAAGGTAAATATTTTATAATGGGAGGCAGAAGCGTGCAATTAATGTAAACAGGAAACAAGGAAGGGATGTAAGAGACAAAACAAAGAATTGGAAATACACCAACACTATACGCATTATTACAATGAGAAGCATCTTCCTGCT